AACCTTTTCGTTGCCTTAAACGCGCTACCGTAGGCGTACAGGCTAGCAGGAGGTTGGGGGTATTGCGGCCCAGATTGTTTGGTCGAGCCGTCAGACTGTTGGTCGAAGAGAATGAGGCTGACTCGATCTAAGAAAGATTTTGACCCTGCATGTACAATCAAGAAACTCTAACAATGTTCACTGATTATATTAAAAGTGACCCAAAACAGAAAGAATAGACCAGCATCTCTAAAATATTTAACTTAATTCCTGAATTTGACTTAAGCAGATAGTCCCATCAATATTGTTAGTGTGCGAATGCGTAACTGCCGATATAAACTGTAAAAAGATACGGCTTTTATTAAACGTTTCTCATTGGTTGATATTCCTTGTAGACTCGCGCTTTTTGTATGTTGGAAGAACCAAACTCCTATGTCGTCTTAACTTTCCAGTAAGCAAAGGTTTTGTAAAGCATAAACAAGTAAAAATTAGAGATTAGAAAGAAAAACGTTTCGGTGACATCGTGAAAATGGTGACACGATGTCACCGAAACATTTCTTTTTTATCGATAATTTTACCTGTTTAACTTTCTAGTAACCCCACAACTTCCATGAACGTGCAGTGTAATGACTCGCTTTGAAAAGGGTCAGAAAACTCTAGACTGTCGGCTAAATTTAAACACCGAAAGCACAAGACACTTGTCCTTTACGTGAATTATGAACGGAAATTAATTGGGCATCGATTCTGTTCGCAGAAAAATTATTATTTAACTCACGTCTGACAGCTGAGATCTGACAACTGAATACTATACTGAGCAACTTCGTTCCCAGGGGCTCTCAGTCAGGGAACGAGCCGACTGAATGGGCTGAAAGTTTAAACAATTGCAAGGATTCCAGCAGTTAAGCTGAGAAAGGCGCTACAACTGTTGAAATTTTCTTTAAAGGATCGGTTTAGCGCAGTTGCTTATGAAGATTCTGGCCCAGGTCCTTGGTTCATAAGACGACCTATATACGATAATGTTATCTACAAAAGGAATAGAAACCAATGGAGGATAGAGAATTTGCAAGTCGTTATGGCTGACAAGACACCGAGAGTAATGTAGATCGACAGATGAAAAGTGATTACATGTTTACTCTTGACAAGAACGATGTATATGGCTTTTATTTTATCTTGAACAAAATTTGTCTAACTGCCCNAATTTAAACACCGAAAGCACAAGACACTTGTCCTTTACGTGAATTATGAACGGAAATTAATTGGGCATCGGATTCTGTCCGCAGAAAAATTATTATTTAACTCACGTCTGACAGCTGAGATCTGACAATGCAACTGAATACTATACTGAGCAACTTCGTTCCCAGGGGCTCTCAGTCAGGGAACGAGCCGACTGAATGGACTAAAAGTTTAAATAATTGCAAGGATTCGAGCGGTTAAGCTGAGAAAGGCGCTACAACTGTTGAAATTTTCTTTGAAGGATTGGTTTAGCGCAGTTGTTTATGATGATTCTGGCCCAGGTCCTTGGTTCATAAGACGACCTATACACGAGCATATTATCTACAAAAGGAATACAAACCGATGGAGGATAGAGAATTTGCAAGTCGTTATGGCTGACAAGACACCGAGAGTAATGTAGATCGACAGATGAAAAGTGATTACATGTTTACTCTTGACAAGAAGGATATATATGTTTTCTTTTATCTTGAACAAAATTTGTCTAACTGCTATATAGAAAACTGCTTTGGGCGAATGCTGCCGCTA